TGATTACGATAGTTTAAACCCAACGTATTCCAAAAAAGACGCCTACCTGAGACGATGAGACAATGTGTCTCTTATCCAGGGACCAATCCATGCATAAAACTTTGCCAACATGTCCTTTAAGGATTCGTCGTTGCTTGACGCCGAGCGCGCCCATCACATCCAGACGTTCGGCGGCTTGTTGAACTGAAAATCAGGAAATTATGTGTCTGTAATGTCCGGATGTCCGTTTTTTGATGGTACTGTACATTGTCTAAATCAGAAAGTCTTGAAGGAGGAGGGATATGAAAAATTTATTCCTCAAACTTTTTCATATAAGCCCCTCGAGGAGTATGACCAGCATGTGAGGAGCGTTGACTGGAAAAAAAAGCACCCTTATTTGATTAAAATTTTCTCGTTTTCTGTGAAAGATATCAAAAAGTAACTAACTGATAAAAGGTTTATCATAATATTGCAAACATTTTGTCAGTTAACCTCTTTTTGATATCTCAAACAAGAACGAAGATAATTTGCGGCAAAGCAAACGATTATATTATCTATCTGTGTCTCGATTCATCCAGATGTTCACTCACTTGGAATATCATTCAACTTATGTCTCTCCGCATCCAACTTCTTCCTCAACTCCTCCGCCTCATTAGCTAATTGTTCCAAATACTCGGACCTAGAAAAAACTACAGTAATCCAAAAATGTGTTTTTTGTCTCCTCACCCTGTCGCGGCGGCTGCGGCGCTTCCAGAATTCTCTGGCACTTTCGACGAAGACGACGATTCTCCAGCGGCCGAACTCATAGTTTTTTTGGGTTTTGAGATCAAAATTTGTGGAAAAACCTGAAGGGTATTATGCGAGCAATGGCGATTTTGAAGCCAGGTTTTTGAGTTAACAACTGGTTGGTGGGATGGTTTAGAGGCTCATTATCCCTGAAAAATGGAAGGTTTAGGAAATAGAACGGGGGAAAAGGAATATCTCGGTTCCCGTAAAAGATACCAAAAATTTGTCAACTAATAAAATTTTTTTGCTATTATGATGAACATTTTATCAGTTGACCACTTCTTGATATCTCTTCTAGAAACTGAGATAAATTGGGTCAAAGTTTATGGAATCGAAAAATTAAAGACATCTATTTCATTGATTTGGTCCAAAATAAAAATAAAAAGAAAAAGGAGAGAAATCGAAAATGGGCAAAAGAGCTTTCTCTCCATCTCTCAATATCTGCTCTCGTTTTTCACTTGGTGCATCCATCTCCACCGAATTTTGTGTATGCCCGTGAGTATGTCTGTCTGCGCCTCTCACTGCTTCTTCTTTTTCACCCTTTTTCTCTCTCCTCTCTCTCCCTCTCTGCCTTCGCTTCTCGTCGCTTTTTGCCAGTGAAGTGAGACCAAGCACGCGACGCGGTCGCGTCGCGGCTTCAGGAAAAAGAAGAAGAGGAAAAAGAGAAGAGCTTTATGTTTGGGAAAAAGGAGAAGAAGAAAAAAGGAATTAGGAAGAAAGAAAAAAAGAAATAGAAGAAGAAAAAGAAGTGGGTGTAATTTATGGATCGCCCAATTAGGGGATAAAACTGAAAAAAAAAGCATAAAAAAGAATCTCAGCATCTCAGAATCTCGAAATCTCGAAATCTCAAAATCCCAGAACCTCATAATCTCAAAATTTCAGAATCTCAAAATCTCAATATCTCAAAAACTCAGAATCTCAGAATCTCAGAATCTCAGAATTTCAAAATCTCAGAATCTCAGAATCTCAGAATCTCAAAATTCCGAAATCTCAAAATTATAGAATTTCCAGATTTCAGAATTTCAGTATTTCAGGCTTTCAAGATTTTAGGATTTTAAAACTCTCGAATCTCAAAATCTCAGAATTTCTAGGTTTTAGAATTTCAAAATTAGTATTTTCCTTTTCCGTAAAATCAGCCGAATTGTTTTGTTCTTCAAATTCAAAAATGAAAAAAAAAACCAATTAATGACCTGCTGAAATTCTCTAACCCCTCCTCATCTTTTAACTCTCTTGTTATCAGACTGATAAGCACACAATGAACTGCTGCTCGTTCATTTATTCTCATTTTACTTTTTCTCATGGCGCAGTGTTTATGTGCCTCTATTTTCCTGATTTTTTTTCGAAATTCTATATTTTTCCTATACTAAATAAATTATGGTTCTAATTGTGATACAGAAAATATTTTGAAAAGTGAGTTTTTGAAAGGTTCAAAAAAATTATTAGGGCTTTGTGATTTGTATTAGTTCTTAAGTTCATCTCTTCAGGTCCTAGAACCAAGAACCAAATCGTTTTTTTCTTAATTGGTTTTTTCAATCTCGAACTTATAGAGAAATGTCTAAATCACTTGGTATGACTCACTCTGTAGTCCAATATGCTTTTGCTGCACTTGGGAAAGTCAAAAAGCTGGGCCGCTTCGTCCCTCACAATTTAACCCAGTTTGACTACGGCCGGATAATGAAAAATTCTTGTAATTTTTTTTTAAATTTGGACTTATCGAGCGGGGCACAAGCAAAGTAATGCATTCTAATCTTCACCGCTCAACAAATTTATGAAATGTTTAAAGAAATTGGAAAAAAGGAACATTTCTGTCAAAAAACCAATTTTTTAGACCTCCAGATACAGCGGTTTGAAGCTTTTGAGAGGCGCAGAATGATCGAGTGCCTCGTTGTCTGCGTCTCTCAGAAACTTCAGACGACTGTATCTCAGATTCCAGATGATCTAGAAAACTAATTTTTGGACTAAATGATAGCTGGAACATTTTTTTCAAGCTGAACATCTTTACTATTAACAATCATCAAATTCTGTCTGTGTGTCCGTTTGTTCCCGGTTCCACGACCCTAGTGAAGTCTCCAGTAGACCAAAAATTCTCAAATTTTTACAGATGATCAGAAATAGCAGCGAGATGTTGCCCGTCTATTTTTCATTTTAAAATTTTGTTTCTGACGTCACCTGGAGACGTTACTCCATTCCTACAGTGCAACTCTTTAGAAAATTATTTTCACGTCACTTCCGTCCAACCCCTCTATTTTTTTCTTATCCACACTATATCTGATAAAAATGTTATTTTGTGAAAATAATTATTTAGTCTTAGTTTTGAAAGAAGAGAGAAAGAAAAAGTTCAGTAAACTTTAAAATTCTGACTTTCTGAATCCCCTAACTTCTCAAAAACTGAATTTCGGAGATTCTGATTCACGAAATTTGATTATTTTTTTTGAAAATGCGAAATTTCTAACCATTCCTATGCTTCAAACATTTTGGTTTCACTTTAAAATTCTAAAATTCTAATTCAGAAATTCGGAAAATTGGAAAAACGGGAACTCGAAAATACCGAGATTTGAAACTTCGGAAATTTTGAAGTTTGAAAATCAGAGAATTCAAATGTCCAATGTTTCGGAAATCCAGAAGTATAAAAATTCAGATATTCGGAATATTACGAAATTAAAAAATTTGAAAGTTAGAACACTCGAAATTTTGAAAATCCAAAATCTCGAAAGCAAAAACCAGAAAAACCAGAAACTCAGAAGTTCAGAATATCAGAAAGCCCAAGTTCGGAATTTAGAAAATTCGGAAATTCATAAACTTTGTGAATCAAAAACTCAGAAATGTGTTTTAGAGAAAATTCTGAAAATCTGATTCGTGTTAAAATTTTTAATTTTGGGAATTTGTGAAGTAGAATCTCAGAAAGTCGGAAATACGGAAACTTGAAAATACGAAATTTCAGAAATTATGAGTTCTGAAATGAAGTATTTTAATAGAAAAATCTTTAAGTTCTAGAATCGCAGTTCCGAAAATTCAGGACTCCTGAATTTCAAAACTTCTGAAAAAATTATAAGTTGTCAAATTTCAAGAAATTCGGGAATTCAGGAAAATTATTAGTTCTAAAACTTTGGAAATTTTGAACAGTTCGTGTATCAACTAAGACACATTTCTGTTCTACATTGCTGATTTATCTGTCCAAGCCCAAACTCAATCGGTTAAGGCTGTTGTAAGCGGGAGCCAGAAGGTTTAGCCCCGAAGGCGCATAAGCAGACTGTCACTCCAGTTTATGAAAGTTGACAACACAATCAACTAAAACTTCCTCTTCTGATTCTCTCCGATTTGGAGATTCAAACGTTTTTAGTGAAGCCAGGAGATTGTAGCCGCCGAGAGGCGGCGGAAATCGACTGGTTTCTTTAAATTTTTCAAAAATTCAAAAGAAGACTGGTTGGAAAGTGTCGAAAATGTTCTTGATAGCTAAGCAAAGTAATGCATTTCGATTCTCATCTCTCAGCGATCACAGGTCACAATTTCCAGCTTACTAGCTCGAGGGAATTGATAGAACAGAATGTTGTGTGTTTTAGGAACTACTATTGTATCAGATGGATGAAGTGCGTATGGAGGCTTGGAGGTAAAAATCGGGATTACAACCACACGTGGGTAAACCACAAAACGGTTCACGCCCAATCTATTGAAGCCAGTTAATGTTGGGGAGACATGAAAAAAAATGTTCTCGAAATTCCGTTTAAATATGCCTCTCGAGGAGTTGAACTTGGGGGGGGGGCGAAGATTGAGGGTGCGGCGCCGCTACCGACTGAGCGACGCGGGCAAAGAGAAAGCGGCCGCGCGATTGCATACATAAAGGCGAGGACGACAGCTGTACGCAGAGTGACATTAAGCGTTGTACACTGTTACGGTAGAATGCATACTCTGGCCCCAAAAATCCCCCGTAAAATCTCCTGTCCCTACCCCTTTAAGGAAATGAAAAGCAGATTTGGAGTACTTGTTCGAAAGACGTTCTTATTTATTAAATGCCGAAAGCCTCCGAAAGTAAAATCATTGAAGGACATTTTTTCCACTATAAGAAGACAATTATGAAATATGAAATATCTGCATCTTCATTGCTATGTATTCTAGCCAACTGGGCGGCTGAAATCAGAGGATGTCGTCCCATCCGTCCCATCCGACCAATACGAAAACTCTTTCCCCGCCACTTCCAAAAATACATGTATCCTTATCCGTGGGCTCCTCCGGTAAAGTCAATAATATCCGTTATACGAAGAGATTGGAAAACTTGGAAGTTGGGATCACCATAACCATTTTTGATCGAAAGAGAAAAAAGTAAGTCATTTCAGAACGCAATTTTTGAAAAGTTTCATTTTACAGATTGGAAGTATATTTTCACAGACACAGTCGTGCCGTTATACATCGCTGTGAACCCGGAAGATGAGATGGACGTGTTCTTCCGACAACATCCGCGGAAATTATGTACTTCGAGTAATTGTTACGGTTACGAGGTAATCATTAAAAGACGAAGTATTTCTCTAAACATGGTTCTTTTCAAATTACCATTAACGAGGAATGGCATAAGTTCTACGACCAGCGGATGCTACCTTCGCACATAGACCAAATAACGATTGGTGTCAACGTCTGCTGAAATTGAGGAAGTCCCTAAATTTTTAATGTTTCAAATTTAATAAAGGTTTGTTTTCCGAACAATTATTCAACCTCTATTTGACATACAGTACCGGTCAATAAGAATTCACAGATTTTTTTTGAGAATTCCTAGTTTTTAAGCAACATTCCGATTTCCAAAAAGCATCCAAACTTGACAGCCGAGCTCCAGACTCCTGATAAGTATCCAAATGGCCGAAAATGAACTTCACATCTTTTATGTGTCTTATTGATTGGTACTTTATGTTTACATATATCGCAGTTTAAATATGTTGAAATCTGAAGAAAAATTTCCGATTTTTCAATAATTTTTATTGCGAAATATACAAGCAAAAAGAAAGAGATAGAAAAGTAAAGAAGTGAAAGACAGAATGAAAAAATAATACTAGTAGCGAGAAACATTATAAGCATCAGGTCGATGAGCTCCAGCCGGAGCTGTGGAAGAGGTGTAGTAGCGGTCTTCGGCCGAATAGATCACCTGATCGCCAGGTACCATGACACGGGAAATTTCAGAATCTCTAGGTGAGGAATCCACGTGGATTTGACGTTGTTGGCGGATGACAGGATTATAATTAGCATTACCAGAAATATTATCGGATGGATAGGAAGAAGAAGAAATTGGGATAGGAGCAGGTGGAGATTGGTTGGTGATGATTGGAGAGGAGACTAAACTGAAATGGGTGGTATTTCAAAATAAATGGATGAAAAATTCTGAAACTCTAAAACTCAACATTTCTAATTTCAATTTTTAAGAAAATATCAAAATAAAAGAAAAACCTGAATTTCTGTCATGAAACCATTTTTCTGGACCTCCTAGAAGCTGAGATACAGCAGGTTTATGTTTTTGAGAGACGCAGACAGTTAGAGTGTTTCATTGCCTGCGTCTCTCGAAAACTTCAAACTCCTTTATCTCAGCTTCTAGAAGAGCTGAGAAACTTGTAAATGAGAGCTGAAACATGAATATTTTTGGCTTGAAATTTTTTGACTTCAAAGTACCAAAATTTTCAATTTTATTGTAAAGAATATAAACGAAGAAATCTATAAAAAGCAATTTTCTGGTTTTTGTTCTTTGTGATTTCTCTTGAAATATTCAAAAACTTAATGAAGAATGTAAAATATTTAAACTTCCAAAAAAACTCAAGAAAATTCGGTTCTTGTTGCTTTTTTTGCAAGCTCAATTTTTTTTTCAAGTCCAAAAATTTCAAAATTTTGAATATTGAAAATTTTATTACTGAACAAGAAACAAGAAATTGAGCTACAGTAATCGAAGCGATTTTTTTTGCAAAAAAGTATTCTTGACAATCGTATTAAAAAGAGTTTACAAAATCGTTTTTTTTCAGGATTCCGGAGATTCCACTGTTTCACCGAAACAACACGCTTCTTTTGCTTAAAAAATATTCTCAATTTTCATGAGTTTTGAACTAGAACTCCTCGCATTTTTTGACAAAATTTTTCCGAAAAAATGAGCGGAGAAATAGAAGGACCGGCTCTTCTAAAACAGATTTAACGGTTATTCAAATGTCTCGTACCTTGTTGCGTGGTCTTCCTCTGATTGCGATTTCTCAACCCAAACCATCCAGCGAACCAAATTCCAGCAATACAAACACACGGAAGGCAGCAACAGCAAAGCAACAGCAGAATGCCAACAATGATCCCAATAATCCTTCCGGCATACCAGAAATCGTCACTGCAACAAGAACCACTACAAAATGGATTACTGTAGGCATGCAGCCCCAAGAAACTCACCCATACATATCATATCCTCCATAATAGGATCGTTTGGATCTCATCAACGTTTCTCCTTCATCTTGAGAACACTGAACCATTACCAATATACATGACAGTATCAGAATGGCAGTTATAGAGGAATTTGAGAAATTCCACATTTCTCTGAAATTTGAAAGAAGTATAGGTTGAAGGTGTCATCAGAATTATTTGCGATTCTCTTTTTATAGCATTTTTGATAACCAGAAAGGGTGCGGTACTCGTTCAGTCAACATTTCTAATACACGCTCAATTGCATTTGAGGAAAAAGGGACAGAGGTGTCATATGGGGGTCATAACAAATGACCTGTCTGACGAAAAAAAAACGTCATCCGACTATAGGGCGAACTTGGTTATGGGTCATTTGAGCTTTCGAAGCTTCAATATTCTAGAAATCTAATTCAGTCATTCAGTCCTAAAAACCATAAGGTCCTCAAAAATTGAAGATTCTCCAAGTTCCAGAAAAGAAACGTTTGGGGAGTCAGAAATTGAAATAAACTATGAAAATGTTTCGATTTTGCTTCTTCTCGTTTTTTCTCAGGAGGCGTGGTTTTTTTTGAAGAATCCGGCTTTTCGGAATATGTGCACCTGGAGCGCTTCTATTCACCTACAAAAGGTACTGTCAGGAACGAATACAAAAGGCGCGATGAAGTGAAGAGGACACTTGAAGAATGCATTCCGATGAACCTGCTCTGTAGAAGAGGAGCAGTTTGTGCTCTGTGCCTTTGAAGGTGGAAAGTATGTCTCTCTGGGCAGATGAATGAATGAATGACGTAGAAGTTTTGAAGTGGGCGACGTGGAACGAGAGAAACGGCAAATTTGTGGGTTTTCAGGGAATTGAATACTTTTTTGGTCTCTGGAAAAGTCTGAAAATTCCAAGAAAAAAGGATAATACTTTCATTTTAAAAAACCACAGCGTTGAGATCAATAGAAGAGTCCCCTAGCTGTTAAATATGCGCCAGTTTTGACAACTGGTAGATTTTTTATCATAATATCACAAAAATTGCATCAGTTGACACATTTTTCATATCTTTCACATAAAACTAAATAAAATGGCTCAAATTTGACAGCGTTGGGGCCCAGGTTTTGTGGTATCTGAAAATGTAGCTATAGCTTTAATAAAACCTTTATATTTTCAATTTACGATAATAATATCCTCAAAACTAATTGAAGATTCAAAGAAATTGATGATGCAATGGTCTTTTCCAGAAAATGCACGTTGAGAAAATTAGAAAACTATGGTAGAGGCCTGGAAAACAGACAAGTTGAAAGGCAGGCCATTTCTGAATCATCGGCCTGGAAAAATCATGTCGAAAATGTTAGGCAACTGTTGACACAACAATCTAATAAAAATGAATAAAAGAGCTACAGTAATCAGAGGGGCCGTTAAACTATGGCCAGGTAAACTTGTCTGAAGAAATTTTTTAAATTCAAAATTTTTTTCGCATCCTGTGTCGGATCATTATTTTTTGTAAAGAAAAAACTACATGATATAGTCTATATCTGTCAGTTCGTTCTTTTGCCTCTCTGACAATCACATCGCCCCCGCTCCTCCTCTCTCATTGTTCTGCAGGTGGGGGTAATAATCCGCGCGAACTCCTCTCCACTACAATATTTGCACTTCATCATCCTCCCATTTTTCTTGTATCACTGGTATCAGTGACATCTCTGTTTCGTGTGTATTTTAGTGATTGGGCTGCGAGCGAAAAGCCTCTCGAGAAACATAGAACAAATTCGACCTTGTGCCTACTGCCTCCTGCGATTCCTGCGACAAATTCGAAAAAAGTAGAATTAATAGTAATAGTAGTTCTTTATACTACTCATCACCCCTCGTAAACCCTCCGTAGAATCCCTGAGAAGCGTCAAAATCCACGTGCAAAGGGCACTACATCGATCGGAGGCAACATGAATATGCTTGGAAGCATGTTCTCGACGGTCAAACCGAGGTTAGATGACCTCGGTACTGACCGTCTCAATTATTACTACTCTACACTTATTATTATGGGAATGTCACTGACCATTACGGCACGACAGTATGTCGGATCGCCGTTGCAGTGTTGGGTTCCTGCTCAGGTATAACCTTTGTAACAAAGAATCTATAATCTCACAATCATGAATTCCTCAAAATTTCCTTATTTCTAAATTCACATAGCTGTAAGAATGGCATAAAAATTTTAATAGAACGCGCCCTTCTTAAATTTGATACAATTTTTCTCGGTCCTTGTAAGAGCTATCAAAAAATCGTAAACTGACAAAATATTTTTGACATTATAAAAAAGATTTTGTCAGTTGACCGCTTTTTGATATAAGACGGTAGAAATTTGAAGAATTTTTTTCTCATTTCTGAAAACCGGAATTTCTCAAATTTTATGTACAAAAAGAACAGAGTTAATAGAAAAAACAAAAGTTTTTCGAAAAGTTTGTCTTTTCGACAGATTTCGTCCAGTTTCGTCTTGCCTTTTTATTATTCAGAAATTTTCTGTATGAATATTCCAGAAATAAGTCAAAGTTATAGAAAATGTTTATTTGATGGATCTGAAAATGATCTTGAACGAAAAAATAGGTGGACAAATTGAAATTGGACAGTGTAGTAGTAGTTTTCTCAAATCCAGGTGACAACCAATCTTCCTGCACTTTGAACTCCTTGTTGCTCTGTGCCTTCTTTTCTTCTACAGGCAGGGCTGGGAAAACGCCGGCGGCCGCCGGCTTTCCGCCGTCTCACAGCGCAGCCGAAAAACGGCGGCGAAACGCAGCGTTTTCAAAACACAGCCGCGCCGCGGCACCGCCGGCAGCGCCGGCGGTGCTGGCGTTCATGCTGTGTGTGCGCGAATTAGTTCAACTGTGTTTTTACAAATAAGTTCGAATATAATTTTTTTTTCAAGAAAGTGTTTATTGTGGAAAAGCATATTTTAACGTTAGAGAACAAAATGAACAAAATATGAGAATTAAAAAAAAGAATAAGAATCTAATATTTTTTTAAATCAGAAAATTGGAAATGAAAGAGAAAAATGTTGAGAAATCGATTTTTGGAGCACGAGTTTTTCAGAAATTAGATGAAGACTAATAAATCAATTTTAAGGCATCTCTTTGATTAACATTAGGTTTTCCAAAAATTTCGATTCCAGCGATTCGAAGTGTATACGTTTTTCAAAGTAGTGGCTAGTGTTCCTACTGTGTTTCTGTTTCTGCAGATACGACAAGATTAACCTGAAAATTGTTCTTTTCAGCGAAACGTTCTATTTTTACTCACTTTCTGAAATCGAACACCTTCCATCTCTCCTTTCACCACTTTCGCTACATAATCCTTTGTAAAATCTTCCTTTTTTTTTAATAAAACGAGACAACTTTGGCAAAAACGATTAAAATTAAGCCAAAAAAACAATAAAGAAATGTGCGTTAACGAAAAAATGCAGACTGCACAACTTTTTATCTACCGTAGTGCGCATAAAAACGCCGCCGGCAACGCCGCCGTTCGCCGGCTGCAGCCGTGTCGTCGCAGCCGGCTAGCCGGCGAAACGCCGAAATTTTGCCGCCGTTTTTCCGCCGCCGCGCCGCCGGCGTTTGTTTTTCCCAGCCCTGTCTACAGGTACAGAATCGGGTTGTCTTCCGATTTTGTACTTTTTTAAAGAAAAAAGTGGTCACGCCAAAATCAAGTATTATTTGAATTGTGCCACGAGGTACAAAATCGGTAGGCAAACCGATTCTGTACCCAGTGAAACAATTCAAATTTTCTCTGATTTCACGTGTCTTTTTGTGGATTTTGAAACATTTCTCATGAGATCCGATTTTGAACCAATTTCTTGATCGACATTAACTTTCCACAATATTCTTATTTGGGTGAGACCAATCCGCTATCCAACAGTCAATCCGATGTTAACAATACGTACCATCAAAAAATGAGAAAGAATTCGGGTCGGGTATATACTTACTGTTAACGTCGGATTAGCCTCAAAATATCCAAAATTTCAGATATCAATCACCCAAATAAGCGTATTGTAGAAAGTTAGTGTCGATCAAAAAATTGGTTCAAAATCGGATTTCATGAGTAATGTTTCAAAATCCACAAAAAGACACGTGAAATCAAAGAAAATTTGAATTGTTTCACTAGGTACAGAATCGGTTTGCCTACCGATTTTGTACCTCGTGGCACAATTCAAATAATACTTGAATTTGGCGTGACCACTTGGGTTCACGCGAGGGGGTCCGAAAGCGCGCCCCAGTAAATTTTTCAAAAATTCTCATTTGGCTGCCGGCGCTTGATGACTGACAATCATATGCATTAGGCCGACACGTTTATTTTTTCAATATCTTTCGATGTTTTCGTTCGTTTTCGCTCGTTTTTTCTCGTTTTTTCTCGTTTTTTCCCCATTTTTTCAGTGAAAATTTCAGTGAAAAGTTTCAAATAATTTATTTAGGTGAGAAGTCCAATGCAACGGGATCGTGCAGTGATGAGTCGAGTGACCGACCGGAATAAAGCTCGATTTTCGTTTTTTTGAGGTAAGTAACTGAAATATCTAATGTTCCAATATTTATTGATTTTCTAGGCTTGAGCCATCGTTCCGTCAGCTTGCCCAGAAGCTTCTAGAAGTACAACTGCGACAAGTAGATTTACAGAAAGAAGAAATGGACCGAATTCAGGTGAGTGTTTTGCTGAAAATCGCAGTTTTGTGGAAACATGTTTTTACAGAGGTTCCCAATCATCGATCCATCGCTCCGTCAGCTCGCTCAGAAGTACAGCAGAATGGGTTATCATCGTTTCCCACCACGTGCCATCAACTGCAGAAATAAGAAGTGCGGACACTCGAACGATCTCCGCATCAAGAAGAAACTGAAGTAATCTTCGTTTTCGTTCATCTGTCGGCCAATAAATCTGTGATTTTACAACGAAGCGAAGGATATCACTTCGATGATGGATGTGAGTAAACTTTGATGAGCCATTATAACCCTGACGTAACATTTGGATAATATTTGTAGAAATACTACCTCATATATATTTCGGATGTCATGTCCTTAGGTGATATTAAATGCATTGAGGTTCTTCCATAATTATTAATTGTTCATTAGAAGCAATTCAATAATTCGTTCTATTTTCAGAGCAACCAGAATCCGGCATCCGATTGCGAAGACAACAACGACACGAGCTGTCCTCATGAGAAGTCGGATGGATCATCGTGAGAAGTCGCATGGATCAATTGGGTTTAATAATAATTGTTATCTCTCTTGTTATATTTCATGAATCTGAATAAATGGTCATATATTGCCTTGCCCTTCCTAGGGCAATTTAGGGAGAACAGCAACATAAATGGAGCAGTATTCACCGAAAAAAAAAACGAATTCATAGCCTTCTGTATCGTTAAAAAAACATTAGAACATTAGAAACAACCACGTGAAATCCAACAACCACGTGAAATTTCGGCTGGCCTACGAGTTAGCTGAGGCGAGCTTTCTGACCCCCTTGCCTGAACCCACGTACCTGACCACTTTTTCCTTTAAAAAATACAAAATCGGGAGACAAACCGATTCTGTACCTGTAGAAGAAAAGAAGGCACAGAGCAACAAGGAGTTCAAAGTGCAGGAAGATTGGTTGTCACCTGGATTTGAGAAAACTACTACTACACTGTCCAATTTCAATTTGTTCACCTATTTTTTCGTTCAAGATCATTTTCAGATCCATCAAATAAACATTTTCTATAACTTTGACTTATTTCTGGAATATTCATAATTTTTGTACAGAAAATTCAGATATCTGGTGAAACTGAAATAAAGGCTACATGGTACATGAAATCATAAGCTGTTTCCATACATGCGAAAAAAATTCTTCAAATTTCAACCGTCTTATATCTCTGACAGGGAGTAAGTTATATGGGCTCAAATGCGGGAGGTCATTTACGGTAATATCCTTTGAGCCGGGTTTTCTCGCTTCCTGTAAGAGATATCAAAAAGTAGTAAACTGACAAAACACATTGGATGGTATGTGAAATATTTTATTAGTTGACTTCTTTTCAATATCTGCCACAGGAAACTAGATAAATTAGATTAGATCAAAGTTAGGAGATTTTCAGATTTCGAAATTCGAGAGATTCTATGATAAGGAAAGTCCTGAATTTCCGAAATTTTTTCAGTTCACAAAAGCGTGGGAGCAGTATGCCGAAGACTACTGTTTTGTGTACAATACATATTGGGTGAAACCCAATGACAAAGTACCAACAACAATCGAGGAACGTGTTTCTCAACAGCTCATTTACTACCAATGGGCTCCGTTTATTATGGCCATCGAGGCTGCATTCTTCTATCTTCCTGTGATTTTTTGGAGTATGCTTTCAACGAAATCCGGTATCAATATTATCAAATTGGTGGAAACTGCACAAAAAGCAGAGGGTGCTGAGGTAAATGGGCGTTTTTATTCTAGCGCACTTGCTTCATCATTTTCGATAAATGTATTCCGGATGGCTTTTGAAGCTCATTTATCTCGGTTACTGTAAAACGTATCAGAAAGTAATAAACTGACAAAATTCTCATCATAATATCACCAACATTTTATACAGTTTTTAATATATTTCACAAAAAAAACTGAGCTGAAAATGGGATAGGCTTCTATTTTTTTTTCTTTTTTTTTTTCTGACAGCTGTCGTCATCTCCTTTATGTATGCAAGTGGGAGACCGCTTTTTCTTTGCCCGCGTGGCTCAGTCGGTAGCGGAGCCGCACCCTCAATCCTCACCCCTACAAGTTCAACTCCTCGAGGGGAAAAATAAACAGAATTTCGAGAACATTATTTTTTTCATGTCCTCCCACATTTAAAATAAAAATGCTTGAAATATTTTTCAGTCGGAAGACCGCAAAAAACAAATCGACATCATTTGTCGTCACATTTCCAACAATCTAAGAAAACGCCGAAATGAAGAGGAAACCACAAAAATGGCGAAGATTCAGAGGATTTTTGGAATGCAACATGGCAAATTTATTACCAAGTTAGTTTTCGAAATTTCCGAGATTTAGCATTTCTGATAGTGAGGCTAGGGGTCCCGGGTTCGAACCCCACCGGTTGCAATTTATTTCTTTAAAATGTTACGGAAGGTTTTCATGATCGGGAAATTCAAAAATCGTCGTTAAAAAACTTGAAAATTAGTTCAAAAGCCAAAGTTCAATTATTTTTCTCCTAAGGCTGTGTGCCCTCAAGTTCACACCCTCGAAGAGCCTGTATGACCGAATTTTCTAAAAAAAATGTATTTTTTCATGTCCCCTACCGTTAAGGTGTCTTTGGAATCTTTAAATTTCCCATTTTCAGCGTCTACCTTGTAACCAAATTTATCTACATGCTCAACTCATTTCTCCAATTCTATTCCACTAATAAATTCCTGGGACAAAACGATCCTTACTGGGGAATGCGAATTCTTGATGACATTCTTCATGGCACCGATTGGGAGCATTCTGGCAACTTTCCCCGTATTGCCATGTGCGATTTTCAGGTGATTTGGTTTGCGATAGAGCGAGCTTGCAAAGTTACTATTTGCTTTACCTTCTCATTCTTTGACTTTTCGATTACAAAAACGTAAAAACTTCAAAGAAATCAATCCGTGATTTATAGGTCAGAGTACTTGGAAATCTTCAAAGACACTCCATTCAATGTGTGCTTACACTGAACATGTTCAATGAGAAAATATTTTTGTTCTTGTATATTTGGTAAGTGATTTTTTAAAAATTCTGACAGAAAATTTTAAAAGTTTGAATTTTGATACAGTACCAGCAAGACTGTGCCACGAGCAGCCTCGGCCTTGGCAGGCTGTTGCCGGTCGTCATTTGGCACAGCGTTGAGTATAGTTAGTTGTGGAGGCTGATGAACCAGAATTTTTCCAGAATTTTTCGCTTTGTCTGAAAATTTCAGAGTATGCAAAACAAAAAAAGAGTTTCATTTTTGTAATTGACAACTTGTTTTGTAAAATTTGGTCTTGATAAGTTATGACGTTTGAAACCAAAAAGATCGTAAAATGCAAAAAAAGTTGCACTGAAATTTTGATTTTTTTTAAATCCGGATTCTTTGAGATTGTATGTTTTCATGACTTGTAGTTCAGATTTTTTCCGAAAATGTGAATTTTAAACGACTGAAATTTATTTAAACGAATTTTCCGGCTTTTAGCTTTTAGATATTCTAAAACTCGAAGTCTGACATTTTTGATAATTCAGAAAAAAATGGAATATCCAAATACCAAAGTTTCAAAGAACTTTTTTATATTTTGAATATATAAGGTTTTTAAAATAAAATTCTTAAATTTAAATAAGAAATTTTAAATTCATAATGCCGCGTTCAAAGTTGATTTCCATGAGTAATTTCCTGGAAAAACGCTGTCC